ATAAATCTAATCGATAGATTCTAAAAGGGTTTTAGGACGCGTCACTGCACCACTAGAAGCCAACTCCATCGATCAAGCTGAAACTTTCTCTCCCTCTTCTTCTCATGCTCCCTGTCACTCTCCTTTAACTCCTCCGGTGACTTTCTTTTATTTGAAGATTGTTTTTTGCCCGGCGCTTGGCCGGTTACCGCTGGTATTAAAAACATTTTGGCGAATGGTTAGGTTTGCTTTTCACCCAACAATGACAACCGACTCACAAAACGCTATGTTGTAGCGTTAATAAATGAAACAATTTAACTAAATTGCTAGTCAAAATACCAATACCACAGGACCATTTTTTATTTTAAAGCAATATTTTTAGTGGCCCGAGCGGGCAAGTGGAAAGTACGTTATGCTGGCCCGGGTGTCTAAATAGTGCTTCCGGGCCAGCGGGCCATTTATAATGTCGAGCCCTGACCTGAGAAACAAACACCAACAACAACACGACGAGTACACAGCGGCCACTCAGGTAACGGCACTGAAACAACCGACACTTTTAAAAAGGAAAGAGAAACTGCCCCAGAACAGTGAAAAGGCCAAAAAAATAACAGCCAAGATAGCTGAATTAATCGCGTTGGATGACCAGCCGTTATCTGTTACCTTTTTTTCTCTTAAGGCCCTGACACACCAAGCAGTCACCAGAGGACTCGCCGACGCCGGCTGTTGCGTCACCGTGTTCTCCTGTGTCTTGGCCATGTGTCGCACGGGAACACACCGCAAAGACTTCAGTGCGTGAGTGGCAATAACTCTCCTTACCAGCAGGCGGCGATAGTGTGTATTCGTCATTCAAAATAGGCAACAACCGGAAGACAGAGAAGAACAGACTGCGTGATATAAACAACAACAAATAGCATGTGCGTTCCCTTTTCCCTCTCGTCCATCTAAAACATGTTTCGTGCGGCGCTGGAGCTATCAGCCATTGCAGTGTTACTTGTGGAAGACATTCTCAAGCAACAGTCTCTCAAGAAGCGGAAGAGCAGGTCTTCGTTTGCGTCATTCCAGATCGCCACGATGAGATGAAAATGAATATCAGTCTGTGTGTGCCTTCTTAAATCGTTTGTTTACTTCCCTCACTTCCGTTTCGCTTCTCATGCACTGATTCGCTAGCTGAACAGCCAATCAGAGTCATTGTTTGGTCCAACTGCCTGACCCCGATTCAACATGTTGGATTGGCCATGCATCGGGTCAGGCAGTCCAAATAAGGCGTGTCACGGCCGCCGGTGCGGGACACACCAAATTGAGTTTGGGCGACAGGACACGCTTCGTCTTCCGACTTACGAAATCGGCCTGGTGTGTCAGGGCCTTTAATGCATCGCATAAAGATCGGATCGGGAAAAATCGGTATCGGCAGATTGTCAAAATCAAATGATCGGAATCGGATCAGGAGCAAAAGAAGGTGATCGGGACATCCCTAGACACAGACTTTACAGCAGACAACACATCTTGCTGAACTCATGGGGAACTGTTCACAGTAACAGAAAACTAAACTTGGCAAGGAAAGTTGTTCAAAATATCAAGACAACACAAATGCCTATGAAAGAAAATATAATATCATATTGTTGATATGTTTACTGAGAACAAAACACAAATAGAGTACATACAACTACATATTTAGACTATAGCTATTATTACAAAGAAATAATTAGAGACTACGTGGAGAAAATGGTAGCCAAATTCTCAGAGTAAACATTTTCACATAAGCAAAAACCTGCTGGAAATAGTGATGATGTAAAGCTAATTATATATCATAGAGATGTTATTTGAATACACATAACATGTCTGAGAAGAGAATCAGAAATGCACAAAGCATGTTCTGTTGTGGACGAATACTTTTGTTCTTGTTGCCATTTGGCTTAAAATCTGATAACAGTCTTGTTTGCCGTTGTTTACTTTCTGAGGGACATCACCAGCTGTATGGAAGAACTCTGATGACAAGATGCAGATTCAGTTAGTATGTGTACAACTCATCCGTTCAGACTACGTCATAAGACCAACTGTTCACAACACCTCTCTTCATTCAGTGAACTCAGCTCCACACTCATCTGGCTCCATAGAAAATGACAAAGCACTACAAGGACTAAAAACGTACAGGTCAGTCACCGTTATTTAATAAGAACGACGTGGTCAACATTTTCATATTCCTTGCATTTGGGTTATTTTCAATAATCTGCCAATTATTCTCTCATTTAAGGAACAATTGGTGTGAATTGTCCATCACAACAAACTGGTTACATAATGACATTGATTATCAAGTCCCTATTCGCAAAGATATATTAATTTCACTCTCATAAAACTACAAAGTAACATATTATCCATCTTGGGAAGCCAGATTCCAAAGTCTGAGCATTTTTATTAGAGACATTACTATAAATGGACAACAAAATATTTGCTAAATGATTGTTTGTGAGCCTAATACAGAATAAAACTGATTGTGTCAGCTACACAAAAGACAAGATCGGCAAACACCTGTGTCGATTTTAAACCTGACATTTAACAGCATACCTATAACTTGCCAGCAGTAGATACTGTATCATCAGACTTGTGAATTGGTAGTCTAAAGTTAAGGTGAATGTTGAAAAGCGTCCCCAAATACTAAGACACAACGTAAACATGTCAACATAGGTGGCCAAGAGCCATGCTTGTAAACATTAAGGGTATCAATACACTGACCTAACGATACCCACCTACCTACTAGGAACAACTCAGCATTAGAGAAGAGTAAAACCAAAGTAAGTTAACACAACATCTCAATGCTACTGAATATACTGCATCCCCAAAGGCTAACGTTAGCTAGCCAGTTGACCAGTAATGTCCAATTCCCTTTAAATGGCTTCAGTGTTGACCCTGTTGACCTAACTCTTTGCTAACTTCACATTGAGTTTCCATGTTATGCTAATTACAAACCTGTTCGTTTTAACTGTCAACAAGCAGCTGTAAAGTCAGAAAGAAGCGTTAATAATGCTGTTTAGGTAACGTTAGGTTAAACTGCTTGCTAACGTTTCAGCAACAAAGTAGCAACGTTACTGTAGCTAACGAAGCTAGTTATACGACTTTATCATAACATACTTCGGTTTAGGTTGACTGTTTACAACAAATACTGCTTTGCTAGCACCTGTTTAACGATAAAGACGCTGCTTTTCCCATTTTAACTGTTTTATTGTCTTTCTAAAAGGATTTATTCATGAGTTTAACAAGCTAAAGCTAACTCCTGCTCTACTGTAACATCAATGTTTGTGTATTGCTACCAGGAAGTAGCCGGAGCCCGGTATACGAGACACTATTAATGTATCCTTTCTAGTTTACACTTTAATTTAATATGCTAAAATAACGATTTAGTCAACATACGTACCAGCTCATTTTGAGTGAACTTTTATTCCAGTTTCATTGGGTGGTTTTAATATCTTCCGAGCTACTCATCCCTTCCTAGCAGTCAACAGTCGAGCTTTAAACAGGAAGTACGGAGCTTAGCCGATTCTGTTTCCTCTCAAGAAGTTTTATGGCAGAAAAATAAATATTAACCATATTAGGTGGAAGAAGTACTCAGATCTTGTACTTGAGTAAACGTAGATATATACCAAAGTGTAGGAATACTATGTTACAAGAAAAAGTCCTGTATTCAAAATGTTAACCAAGTAAAAGTACAAAAGTATTGGCATCTAAATGTAGTTAAAGCAGGCTACTAAAAGTACTATATTATAGGTACTAAAAGTACTTTAAGTACAGAACGGCCTATTTCTGTATAATATCATATGGTTTGATTATAATTATTGATGTATTGATGTGTATATCAAGCTTGTAAAGGTGGGGCTATTTTGTATTATTGTATTTACTGCTGGGCAGCATGTGAATTTAATCCAGGTGTAACTAGTCTTATTTTAGTGTTGATTATATTTTTCTTTATCATTAATACATATCCTCAAAGTCACTAAAGGTACTACATAAATGTAGTTGAGTAAATATACAATATTTACCTCTGAGTTGTAGTTAAGTACAGTACTTGAGTGAATTAATGTACTTAGTTACTTTAAACCACTGAATGTAATAAAGTACACTTACTCAAGTACTGTACTGAAGTACAATTTTGAGGTACTTCACTTGAGTATTTTAACGTTATGCTAATTTATACTTTTACTTTACTACTTTGGAGATACATGCTGCTTCCCTGATGGCTTCCACAGGATTGTAGCTGACATCCTCGTGGATTCAACTTCTTATTACAGACACATGCATTTCCTAACATTCGGTCTATATGCTGTAAAATGTATTATCTCTTCGATTTACACACGGCATCTATTGCACGTCTGTCCGTCCTGGGAGAGGGATCCCTCCTCTGTTGCTCTCCCTGAGGTTTCTCCCATTTTCCCTTTAAACTGTGGGTTTTCTCTGGAAGTTTTTCCTTGTACGATGTGAGGGTCTAAGGACAGAGGGTGTCGTTTTTCTCATACTGATATTCTGAACAATCTGTGCTGTTGTATTTGCTGTAAAGTGTCTCTACTGTAGGCTATTTTTATTATATGTACAGCACTTTGGCTCGACCAAAAATCGTTTATAAATGTGCTATATGAATAAAACTTGATTTGATTTGATTTGATATATTAATAAAACAGAATATAAATCAACTAATACATCATTATGTATTATTATAGAAGCTACCCAGCAGTTAATCAAGTCATTAAAATGTTCTTCTCCTTCACGAAGTGCAACATTGACACTATTGTACAATAACGTTTTATTTTTAAATCTGAAATGGGCCACACTGGATAATTAGTACTTTTACTTTGTGTACCTGTAGTATATTTTGATGCCAATAATGTTGTACTTTTAGTTGAGTACACATTTGAATGTTGGACTTTTGCTCGTAACAGAGTATTTTTACATTGTAGTATTGATACTTTTATCAGATCAGATCTGTTCGGTATGTGCCGTATGTACGTGCACGAAGAGACCCATGAAAACTGAAGGCAAGTGATATTTTTCTTTATTCAAGTACTTACATAGAAATAACAAAACAGTTGCATTACAACAAACTGAAGTGCCAAGTAAACAGGGGAGCACATCTCCCCATCACAAGGATATAGTAAAATTCATTTCAATATTCAGCTCATCATAAAATGACCTTATTATAAGGTAATAAAAACATGAAATAGGCTAAAGACATCAACAACATTTTAAACAAGACCCCTTGTTTTCTTGAGAAAAAAAAGCCAACAGAACAGTTATCCCAGTGTGTGTTTTCAATTGTCCGTCTTGAATTGTTGTTATCCCGTTTCACCAAATGTGAATTATTTTCATGCATAATAAAGAAATGAGCACCACCCACCGCATCGTAGGGCAGCACTTTGGAACATTTCCGTGCACATGCAAACATGAGGATATACTGTAATGAAAAGGAAAACACAACACAACAGAAAACAGTGAGTATCGACTCCATCTGAACACCATAGTGTCACTGTTGAAGACCACAAAATCCCTGAAGCCACCCTGTTGTCCATAAGATGACATGAGTAGCCTATATCTACACACATGATGGAAATCTCTTAAAAAGATGAGTATTTTTTTAAAATCTTGTAATTATTAATTGTCACGAATGAGCCCAAGCCTATTGCCGTGCCCAAGGCCAACTTCACGGAGACTAAATCAAACGGTTAAACACAAACATTAGCACAAGGCTGCCTTCAACTGCAAGCAGACTGAGGTCACATTTATGATTTGTTTCTCCTGTGGAGTTCTCATCTCATATTGTTTTTGATCAGCCAACCCTGCAACCCAGTTTGGCACAAAGATGGCTGCAGATGTTGGCTCAGATCCAACATGGAGCAGAGAACGAGGATGAGGCAAATTCCAATTTCAGAGCGTTTCAGCCGCCCACTTTTGGACAGTAAAACATGAAAAAAGCATAATATAAATTATTCTTAGAGAAGCATTATTAAGAGGGGGTTGTTTCTACAGCATTCACACATTACACAGAGTTATTGTTCAGCAGAACACGGTGCAGTCTGTATTGTTCAACCACCAAGCTATATTCAAGGAGTGGGATGGAGGGGGGATCATATACTTTTTTACAAAACCTTTCTGTCCATTATAAAAGTGTCACCAAACAAAAGTGACAAACACAGTGAGAGGATATGAACGATGAAATATTGAGTTTGCAAAGTGGTAATTACATGGCTTCATTTAGATGTGGAAATGGTTTGGTGTAGTCTCCACCTTACCCTGCATCATTCCTCAACACAAAGCAAAACATAAACACAGTTTTCTCTCAGAGGAGGCCACATCCTATATATTATAGTTAAAAACACCCATTCTCACCAGCAGAGTGTCAAATCAAGAGCACACAAGAGCAACATTTTTGGTCAAATAAATCAAAAAAGATTCAAGGTCTATCATGAACAATGTCTAACATCAAATTATTCCAGATAAACATTTCGTATTTCCTATCAACTCGTGTACGTTCTATATATATATATTTATTTGAGTTAACTCCACGAGGCTGTCTGCTACACGATGTTTATATTAGAGTCTGTTACCCATTGCAAGATTTCGGCAAATCCACAAGTAATGTTTTAATCTTAGTTGTTTTTTAGCGAATTATCTGGAATCAGACATAAGAAATGTTGTGTAATGTGAAAGAAATTATATTTTCAGTTTGGTAGTTTGGGATTTCAGTTGAGTTAAGCTGAGAAAAGTTTGGTTTGCCATCCATGCAAAACAATTAATTTTCATAATACAAAACTATCGATTTACATTTAGATGTTACAGGGTGCATGGTCTTTTAAACTACTTGAAAAAGTGCAAGGAGCTCTGTTCATTTATCCATGTAGATGAGTTGAGGCTCTCTGAGGCCAAATTAATTGGAAAAGAAGTGGAAAGTTGCCAGGAAGCTCAGCAGTGAAACTGGTTGTTACAGGAGGGGGAAACATGGCCTTCTGTGTGCCCTGTGTTCTCTGTGGCATTGCTTTCCTGAACCCTTCCTCTGGCCTTTGCATTTATCAGTCGATATTCTCTTTAAGTCTGATTGCCGTGTCTACTGACTGGTATAATATGTTTTTTTTTTCAAGCTTGGAATAGGGCATACACTTTTTTAGTAGTTAGAGAGCACAACTAATAACCAGAAATATTGTTGGTCCAAGTAGGCTACATCAGAAACTATATTAAAACATGGATAAGCTTATTATAACACCTCACATTTTTAATCCAATGGGCCAAATAGCATTTTTGGACTGCCAAAAAAGCCATATTTTTAAGAGAAAGGGAATATGCTTTTCTAAGCATATAATGTATTCATTGTTGTAAATATCATTATAATAAAAATGTTAAGATCCCATAGAAGCTCACAGAGGAGATAAGCGTACACAACATGTTTCATAGAATGATGGAATAGTTATTATTTCAAATCAGGACAAATGAACAATTAGAGACGGACCAATATTGGCATTGCCCTATAATGGATTTGGTTTTAGAAATAATCTAGTCATTTAGTCTTCTGTCCATCTGAGAGTAACCAGTGTTTGCTAAGAAATTGGGAAGATGTGTTAATTGAACTGATTGCTACTATAATGGAGATAAACAAAATGTAAAAAGTCTTTCTGTTTATTCAGAGAACACATTAGTGCTTCCTTAAACCACTTACAAATGCTATTATTGTTTTTTTTTCTTTCATGGAAGATAATACACCATATTTGGCACTATTGCAGTGCTCTAAAATGTTTTGAAATAACCTATGACAACAAAATATTCCGTATTATAACTACATTACTAAAAGCTTTAAGACACATTCCCACAAGCATTCAGTCAATTGAGAGTTCTTGTTTATGCAGTCATTTGTATTTACATAGTATGCATGAAGGCATGCACATATATGCACAATTTAATACTGAGTTATGGTGCATTTGACATTTGAGTACAAAACTGAAAATTCTACTGTATAGCTACCTGCATACATGTGTGTATACTGTACAAAAACAACAAGTCCCTAAGTCACAACTCAGTCTCTCTGTATTCAAAAGATGTAAACATGGATATGGACATTTTCATTTTCCCTTACCATATGCTGGTCAGATTTAGGTGATTTATACCAAGTAGTCTTTTTTACACCGTGAATCCTTCATTCCTCTTTGCTTTGATATACTGCTGGTTTACAACCCAGTGTTATTTATTTAAATAGTTCAGTCTGTCTAACTGTGCTCTTGGTTCATCTGATTTACGGGTTGTGGCACATGTAATGAATATATTGCATATAATTGCAGAACTCAAGAAAAATGAACAGTATTGGTGAGCTTTTAAAAAAGAAATGATATCTGGTAACGCCACATAAAGCCACCGTATAAAAAAAGGCAACACAAATACACAGTGTCTCTCAGTGACTACAAATAAATAAAGTATTGGCAGAGGCATTGATTGCTGCAGGCATGTTTGTTTTATAAGTACAAGTAACAAGACAAGACATCGGTTTGCTTTGTGTAACCCATTCAGTCATTATGTAGACTTAACCAATTTGTGCAGGTAAATCTATTTGAATCTGATCTTTCCGTTAAATCAACATGTGTGCTAAGCTGATATCACTGTTATGTTTGGCAGATGTCAGGCACAATAATAAAAAAACAAGGTTGGCTCTGTCACCACAATACATTTGGCACATTTTGAGAAAACAACATTCAAATAGAAAATAAAAAAACACGACACCTCAACAAAATACAACAAAAAGACCGTCAAGTGCCACTAATAAGGTATCCATGACAGTACACAAATATAACCAATTGCACTTTTTTAAAACAGCCTAATAAAATAAATGCATACATCCCAGACAACTCACCCTTTAAATAAGCTCCATTTAATTTAGTTTTTTGACCCTTGGCTTCCTTTCAATTTAGAAATTCTCAGTAAAATTGACAAAAGTGTATCCAGCCCACAAACCTATATGAAGTGACCTTGTGGACAGCATGTGCCAAGGGGCCCTTCTTTGTGTTACAGTAGCTGAGAGAGAAGGGTGTAGCAGCCTTTCTCCTTTTTTTCTTAAACTAAAACTCATCCATCTCAAAATAGAAGGAACTATGGAAATAAGAGCGGGGGATGTAAAAGAGTGTAAAAGAGTCACCTATTTATCTCATAGCGGACGTGATCCCGTCTTCCCAAGTCTCTTTATGGGGCATGGTGAGGGTCCAGTCCAAGTGTGTGTAGTGACGGTCATGACGTTCCCCCTGTCGGCCCCCCACAGGAGCTGGGGGGCGAGCTGTGGCTCCCAGCCACCCCACTGCTCTTATCAGCCGGCTTCTTGTCCTTCTGTTTCAGGTGAACCTTTGAGTGTCTCTTTCTCTCGTCACTCCTGGCAAACTTGCGTCCACAGAACTCACAGGAGAAGGGCTTCTCGCCGGTGTGTGTGCGGATGTGTGTGGTCAGGTGGTCGCTCCGGCTGAAGGAGCGCATGCATATTCGGCACTGGAAGGGTTTGTGACCTGTGTGGATGCGAAGGTGACGTGTGAGCTCGTCTGAGCGTGAGAAGCGTCTGTCACAGTTCTCCGCCGGGCAGGCGTGCGGCCGCTCGTGGACAGGGGTCTTGCTGGGACGGTTGGGGTACTTCCGAGGTCGTATGGGTTTGAGGGTGAGAGTCTGTGGGGGTGGGTGGTGCTGAGGAGGGTGCTGTTGCCCCCCGTGGAAACCTGGGTGCATCTGCTGCTTATCTTTGAACGCCCTGATGGTCTCCAGGGGTGTGATGGGAGGAGGGTTGACTCGGATGGGGTCCATGCTCTGGAAGGGCTTGTGCTCCATCACGCCAACATCCCCCTGATGGTGGAAAAGGTTGTAGTCGGGGATCATGGAGAAAAGGCTGCCATCCATGGAGGCTTTAGATGTGGAGTGGTAGTCATTGCCCGGGTAGGCGAGTCCGCTGCTGGTGGCCGGGCTGTGGTGGAAGGAGACCTGGTCCTGGTACAGGTCGCCGCAGGTGGAGTAGGCAGGCAGCGGAGGACCGTACACCTGATCCATGTCTGACGTCTGTCCGCCCATGCTGGCTGCGGAGGACGATGTCTGCGACGTGACCGTGCCGGGTGATGGAGAGACACCCAGGATCCCCGCGCTGACAAGACTGATGATGTTGTTATCAGAGCACCACCCGGAGCCCCCGAGGCCCCCTGACGGAGGAGTGTCAAAGGCAAACTTCCCCAGATAGGTGACAGTCTGCCCGCTGCGGTTGGACTGGAAGCTGGATCCATACTGAATCTCTGCGGATGCTTTCTCGCCTCCCATGCCCAGATCCATGATGTTATCTAGACAAAAGCACAAACACAGACATAATGAATAAATCATCCATATTGTTGCACATACAAGAATTTAAAAAAGCTGAAAAGAAAAGCTTTCAATAGCTGATAATGTGGCAACAGTTGTTAAATAAAGTCTAGAAAATTCACTTTGTGAAGATATGTGATCTTGAAGAATCCGTTTTTCCAAAATTCAGCTTTTTTGCATTTCTCTGTAATAGTGTGCCAACAAATGAAAATAAAAGAAGTCCACTGGAGTTCATAAAGAAATGTGAGCGCTGTCAGACCTGTAAGTTAAGTGAGTGACTGCTGCATGTGAGACAGTGTCTCTCTCTCTCTCAGATCCCACAAGCCCTCATAAATCAAGACCTAAACACCCCCTTTGATCCAGTCATTGTGTCCCTGAGGAGGACAGCCAAACTGAATGGCAAGATCTGATTTCTTTACAGCAGGGAGGATTATAAGGGAGAAGCCACATCTATCACGCTCAAGGATTCAAAACACATTTGCAGCATCTGCACATAACGGGGGTAAAACATTTTAAGTGTTTCCAATCCAATCTCGGCATTAGTGAGCTTAACAACATTTCCCCAAATTTCCCTGATATTTTAATTGTACAGAATCTTACACTTCACACACACACACACACACACACACATTTAACTTATTCCAAAGATGCCATAAAAACCATCACAGATGTGCTTAATGGGGATTCATTTATGTGCTGATCGTGCTCTCAGGGCTTTAATGTGAGACGTTTCAAATGAAATCTTTCTTTCACACAAGTTAAAATCTCTTTTCATTTGCAGAGAATGATACACAGGAGTGTTTAAATATTCACTCCTAGTAATTACCGCCTGCTGGAATTTGGCTAAAGACAGATCATAATTGAGCAAACAAAAGCTAAATTACTTATAGCACAATGGCATTGAGACACATGAGGTGAATATGGACAATGACACTTGTGGCATATTTTTTTAGGGGGGGGGGGGGTTTGGAATTGGAAAGCAAGCCTGAGTTGATATTAAAGCATTACACTCTAAATATTTGGTCTTTAGGAGGTTCTTTGAACTGTGGGATTTATTTTGAGAGAATAAGAGGCATACAATAATTCATCACTATTTCTTATTAGGCGGCATTGAGGAGCAAAGTAAACAGCTGCTTCACTGGAAATATTACACATGGAACTCTAAAAAGAAATTATTGTTATTTGCACAAAAATATTAAATCTGCAAAAAAAATCATATATATTACATTTTGAGTGTATAACGTGAATTTCATCAAGAAGACTCATATTTAACAGAGCAACACACACCTGTACTGAAACATATTTGTTATGTTCAGCTTCATTTGTTTCAATATTTCCTGTCAGAGGTCACTACAATTAAACATAAATAAACATTGTATTGCCTTGTTAATAGAGAAATGTCATATGTTGCAAGTATGTCTCCTGTATTTAATTTACTTATTTTAAAATAAACGAGGTATACTATTTATAAGACCTGGCGCTGGGATAATTAAAAACGCACACTATAAGTAAATAAGGGGGTTCATTACGGGGTAATTTAAAAATAAGGGGTTGTTTTAAATCGTGAAAAAAAACGTGAGAATAAAAATGTTTCATGCAAAGTTCGACAGGGCAAATGTAAATTGCGGTCAGTGCATCACGGTGATCCTTGCCACGCCAGGATACTAAATATGTAGCCTAGTATATTTGGTGCAGCATTGACCCATCACCTCCGAAGGTGAGCCTGTACAATTAGTGATTGATTTAATGCCAACACTGAGCCGAACCTAAAGTCATCTTTGGAGGCGTCTGAATTAATCAGAAATAAACCTTAATCTGGATTTAGCAACAAATAAATCAATAAATTCGGCCTCGCAATTTAGTGACTAAGTGGGTTCAGGGGGCCCTGTGTCTAAACATTTTATATAGGGAAAAGCAGCCACACACGCCTTCTGAAATCCAATCCGTGTCATGTTAATAGAGTTGTGAATGAAAGGCATTCTCCTAAGTAGCTGACCCACCTTTGCGGGTGGATGTTAGATTAATGAATCCGTGGCATTTTGCAGTTTAACCACAGAAATGTATTCACTCCGAGAGTTGAGATTTCAGTTTCAGTCAGGAGTCGATTGCGTTTTGAGTACTTTGCGTATAACAGCCTGTTTTCCACAGCCGTTCATTAGACATTTCCTCAAACACTCCTCAGCTTTGTCAAATTAAAATCACTATACACGTGTAGATCTTTACAAATATAATGTTTTAGCATTAGGTTTTTTTAAAGTTTTGATTTCAGAACCTTTTTTATGTTGCGTGAGAGACATTTCGGCTACGGACAATGATAAACATAAAAGGAAACGTAACAAATATGACATGCCTGGCCAGAGAGTCAGTCACATTAAAGGTATATCTAATTCGTAGAGCCCGGTGTTACACCTGATCCCGAGAAAAAGTATTGAGTACGGGAGTCTGTACGCAACAGCCAGAGCGCAAACAGGTGCTCCGAGACCCAAGACAACTGTTGCCTTACGCATCGCAGTTTGAACCACTTTTATCAAAACACTCATACACGGAAAAGTAAAAAAATCTTACCTGTATTCATCTGTGAATAGTGGTTAATAGATTCCGTACTGGTGAAAATATTCATAGACGTCGGGATGTCCTCTTCTGGGTAGAGACTGTCAGGGATCGTGTTTATTAAACTGCTCATCGTAAGAGGGAGCTTCTCCGCTAGTTTCCCTGTCATAGCAGTTATAGTCAGTCCGACATTTATAAAAAGGACAACTCGCAGGTATCCAAGTAGTTACTCAGAAAAAAACACAGCGGGTGTTCTCAAAAGTGGAAAACACAGGTGTGGATCAGAGAAAAAAGAGGAGAGGAGCAGGGATGGATCCTGTTGCTGTATCCAAGTATCCCGCGGAGGACGAGCAGCGCCGGGTATCTCCTCCTGTGTGATCACAGGCTACTGTTGTTATTAATCTGATCACTGTGGAAGCTGATGGGCTGCTTGTGGGGGAATGTGAAGTCTGTGAATCAATGGAGGAGGTGGTGGTGGTGTTGGTTGCACAAGAGCAGCTCTACTTGCTCTATTGGAGCTGGATAGGGGACTCCAGTCTGCCTGTATTAAATAGGGGGATGGAACATTTGCGTGACGTAGATGACCAAATATGGACAGAGCGCCCAGCACCCATGCTCTCCGCGCGTCAGGCTGTGGAAACTACAGTGGAGGCAAAAGGCTCCGATAGATAGCGAGCCACAGAAGTTTACCAAATCTTCACTGCTGCTCCAGATGCGTCCCTCTCCGGGACGATTCTCCTCTGTTCCTGTCCTTGTGGAAAACATTAGAGGGATTCAACAGCTGTTATCTGTATTATTATCAGGCATTATGATGTCCATTGTGGACTATCACGCACACTGGGAGCTTTTTATGCAGCTGTGTGTGTGCGAGTGAGAGACAGTGTGAGACGGAGAGACAGAGAAAGAGGCTGTTGTCGTAAACAATTAAAATACTTTAAGTCATTAAAGGCCTTATACTGTTTGGTCATACACATATTGAAATATTTCTATGTGTTGGCCTTTCTTTTAAATACGTTTTGCCCAAATAAGACTAAAGAAAAATAATTTGTATAAGCTAATATGCTTTTTTGTTGCTTTTAGTGAATGTTCAAACTGTCCTATCCTACTATCCGTCCTGTATTGCAGAACAACTGTTGGAAACCGTCTTCTTCAAGCAGCAACACTTAACAAAGACAGTAATTGACGGAGTTAATCACTTGTAAATATTGCAAGCAGCGCACTGTAAATCCGAAGGCTTGCTTTGACTTGAAGCCAAAGTGACCGCTTAAGTGGAACTCCAAATAAGGGCAGTGTCCGGCCCCGCCCCTTTCTGTCTGTATTTGGACATGTGAGTTCCGGGTGAAGCACAAGTGGAAAAGTGTTCGGAAGCCACAGAAGAGATGACAGTGGATGGAGCGTCATGGGTCGCGTTTTTACTTATTTGCCAACTTGTGAAAAAGAAACAACATCACACAGTGGTTGACTTTATATCCTTTTGAATAGAGTTATTTTAAAAAGAAAAAGAAAAAAAGAAGACTTAAAATCGTTGGGGTTGCTCACTGCTTTCAACTCACTATCACACTCTGCACTCCTCATTAAAAGTCTAGCAGGGATTAACTAGGTTGGGAGTAGGCTATGCACTTTCTGCTGTAGCTGTACCAACATGAAGCACAGGCCTTTGCAAATCTCACAGAAAATATTGAATGAAATGTCAGTGCCTGAATATTCAGAACTGAGAAATTAATAGTACCTCAATGAACCAGAAGTGTAAACAGAGTGTGTGGGAGAATTAGTCTGAATCATGCTCTGTGTTTAGGGGGCTAACACAAACACAGCAGCCAGTGATCTGGTGTGGCTCATCACCACAGGCAAGTCCTCAGTGTGTGTGTGTGTGTGTGTTTTATCATAGCAGTCATACCAGCGGGCAGATAGAGTAGGTTCCTCTCAGGATGTCTTGTAAACAGTATTGTGCCTTGAATCAACAAAATAGACAACAATGATCCTCACAGACTTAAAAAAAAAAATGTCCGACCAAAGAAAGATTTTCTATGTTGGCTTAATCATCTGCCTTAACTGACTCACTCCTTAAATGTGCATAAATGTGCTAAAAGTAGTTCTCTGAATCACTGTTAGCACATTAATCCAGGTCAGAAGGAACAAGATATGAGTGATTTTTTCTTGAGTTTTAGCTGTTCACGTATTTGGAGCTAAATGTCAATCAACATAGAGTATGTACATCGTTTATCAGGCCATTTTAATCACCAATTTAATGTTTTTATACTTACATTCTGTCAGTTTTTAGCTTGTCAAATGTGAAAGCTGGAATTCAATTTTGCACAGGTTAAGAGGCTGTTATAGTTGTAAGCATTATCTATTAATAATTAAACATTCAAGTGAAAAATACATTCATTAAAGGGGACACAACAGATATTCACCGCATATAAACAGTTTGATATATTTCAACAAACTGCTTTAGAAACAAAGGTCAAAAGGTGAACATCTTTTGAAATATACATTTCAGGAACAATTTCCACAGCTATGGAAAGCATATGTGCTAACATACAGTATGTAAAAGCCTCTATTGTCTATACCACTGCATGACAAACAGGAATGTATGATTGGTTTGGACTAAAAACAGGTAATCCTGACATCATAATGTAATGCAGAACAATAACATGACCTACTGCGTCACACATTACGCATAAGAGGTAGTATATTTATAGCAGTTTATTGCATCATTTGCATCACATTATGTGCTGTTCCTGTTTTTTTTGTCTACCTCATGAAGTTGCAGGGGTTGATCAGTTCAGTGGGAGAGCCGTGGAAAAAGTGTTTATGGGTTTAATCAAATGAGAGAAATCCCTCAGGTCAGCGTGATAAGGACTCACTGTACTGCGGCGCCTCGCCGGAAAGTTGGAACACCTACCTGTTGCAGGTTTATTTCCTCGACTGTGATCTGATCACCTGGGCCTGGCCCTCTGTGTTTGTTGTGGCGTTTAATCTCTTTGACTGCAGCGTCCGGGCCTCTTTTGCATACCGGGATTCCATGGAAGCACAGGCTTGTTTTAAAGTGGAAAACTGCCCAGGCACTGCGGATATATAGTCAAATTAGTTCAGTTTTTCCAGGCTTCATGGGGGAAGACTACAACTGATGTTCCTTGCTGTTAGTTAGATATATGAATAGATAAACATTATTCTAATTATCCCAACAGTAACTGCACATCCATTATTTTACATGATGTTGTAAAGGAAACATCTCTTGATATTATGATCACTGTAATGGTGAGAAGTATTATATACAGTATGTATATGGTTTATCAATCTGCAGGTGTTTTAATCCCAAACAAATCTCCATATTTCCGAACTATGACTTTTCATACTACAGCCTTTTATTTGAAAAGCATCTACATTTTGAATTTGGAGAATCTCTAATATGAATTCAGTTAAAGAAAGATTAACGCATATCCAATGAAAACACATTTGTGTCATCACATCATCCGTAAAAATATGTTGCTTCATTTCTTTTTTAGTCCAGTTTTGCATTAGTTAAAAGTGAGCGTTGTTACCCTACCCATCATTGCTATTTGTCTGGATAATGTTTTTCTTTTCAGTGTTATTATTAGGAAAGGAAAAACATTTTTTTCAGATACAAGCCCGACCGGGTACCTTAATGTTTAAAGGTCAAAAGGCGCATTTTAAAATTCACTGTTTCTCATTTGTGAATGATGTTCTTGGAGACAGACGTTTACTTAAGCCAAAAAAACAAGTGTATTAAATAAGTATATTCATTCAGAGGCATGATTCAAACCTCCAGGTGGACTACAGAGCTCTGAATGAGTCTGTTGGGGTCAGACAAACAGAGAATACACGTGCAAAGTGGTCAGCAGAGCATGCTTTGGATGTCACACCCAAATCCATTTGGCCTCTGCTCACAACAAGTGATGAACTCCAGGAAGTCCCCCGTGAAATAAATCTTCCGCACTTCTCCAGCAGCAGCAGCGAGAAAAGAAGAATAGAGACTCGAGTCAGAATGCATATTAGATCACTAAGCGCCGGTTAGGCAATTTAATTGATTATACAAATTCCTTTTAATTAATGTAAGTTTGAATACATTAAGGAAATATTAAATGCATTTGCCTTATCATCAGGGGATGTGAGAAGTTATTTATTTTTTCCAGAGATGCAATATACTGTGCCTCGTTGAACTACAGCTGTCAGTTTTTCTTAATCACAATATTTCAACTCTCCTGACATTTGGAGTAAAAATAAACACATTCAAGGAAGCTGAGAGGCAAAAACCCAGATGTTTTGGCAGAATATCTCCGAAATATAAAGGAGGTGAAAAAAATGCACAGTGTATTTGGAAGTACACATCTTGGCATTTCAATGGTGTACTGATGGATTCAAGTAGGTGGTTTTTGGAAGAATGTTCTCCCAGTTGGCATGCCTCACAATGAGTGTAGAATTATAATACCCTTGCCAATTGTTAAAAATGTGATTTCATAAGTCAAATAAGATCAAGGTCAAGAAGCGATATTCACACTGAAGGATACTTAACATTTGTTGAAAAGCAACGGACCGCCGGACTAACTGTGTGCATTGTTTTGGTTGTTTTGTTTGTGGACGCGGCTGCTTTGACTGTTAAGTCGGGGAAGCAAACAAAGCAGATGCAGGACAATTTGATCAATGATCTCCCAGAGTTCATCGGGAGGGCACATAGGGGTTTACCAAGGCTGGCTTAACCACCAAAGGAACAAAAAACCTCCATTACCTACTCCTGCCTAGCCCACTGATGAGACACCAAATCAGGGTCAATGCAAACCACCAACTAAAGATTGATCATCAGAACATCAAAGTCTCTCATGTAAATCCAGCCTTTTCCAGACATCTGGGGTATTGATACAAACCCCTCCCAGAGGAGAGTTGCTGGTTAGAAACCAATATTCCTCATGGGGGGTACTCTGACCCACCCTCTACAAAGACCCGTGCAAGTCTGAAAAGTATCTCCTCGTCAAAAGGGTTGAAAAGTTTATCTGTACCATCCTCTGCAGACCTACCAGGTAGGCCTGTTATGCAACCGTCCAAAGTTCAAAACGGGTTCATCCTCCCAAAGTTACACTCAAGGACACTTCAACATGTGTTAGAGCTGCTTTTACTTAAAAAATAATCAATCAAGGAAGTGAAAGCACATCGATGTTTCCAATTGAGGTGAGAGTGGTCAATGGAAATATGATAAACAATTACACAGACAGCAAGTTCCCTTTACCCACACTGCATGCCCCTCCCCCTGTCCTGTCACTATGTCGAGTATTTTGGTTCAAGTTCCACTGCGGCATCCGGCAGTGTTGCGGTCTCGGTTTCACCTCCCACTTCCTTTTTTTGGCCCTGACGTGTTTCCGCGCCTGAATTAGAATAAACTCTTTCCACAAGAGTTGTGATATCAGGTCCGTCTTCCTTTTCTGGTTTACGATGTTTGGAAACTAATAAGAAATCCCCAGTGAGGTCAGAACTATCTCCCAAATCCTTTGCCCCGCACCACGCGACAGAAGATACGGGGCGACATCAAAACATAGCAGCTGCTGTAACACAAAGAGGAAATCTCTCTCTATCTCAGTGATAAGATAACAGGCAAAGAGGGCTGACCTGTTGCAAGCTTTGAAGAACGTACTGTATGCTTATATTCAGAGAAAGTGGGGAAACATCTTATTGTATATCATTGTACTGACAGGTTCTTCATTTAGTTATCCGAGAATCAGTCTTTGTAGTTTTGGGTGAGCAACTGCAGAGTGGCCACAGGCTCTCCCTTGTGATGAAGGCCTGAAGATCCCATTTACCTGTTGATACATGAACACAGAAATGTATAAGTATTTACAGATATTCAGAGGGGAAATGGACTTAAAACGTGTGTATTTTCAGTCTGATTGAACAGTGGATCAAAAAACCTAAGCACTCAAATCTCACAAGTTTATTTGACAACATGTTTTTATCCTACACACATTCAGCGCAGTCTGAGTGAAATCTCTGGTGCATTGCTAGAGTGTTTCTCGTGACCGCTCGGCCCGTGTTTAAGGGATCTGAGGCCTAACTGAGCAGCACATGGCTCTGGGATGTGAGTCACTGAGAACAGCACTGCTGAAAATAAAACATGTTGCTGTAATGATGGAGGTGGGAACGCAAGGACGTATTGGCAAGAAGATATGATTCAATCGCCTGGACTGTTTTTTTTCCTCCCTCCCCTTTTAAACAAACACCAGACGGCCATCCGGCTGGTATGACAATATCACTTCTTAGATTTTGACAACCGCTGATTCCCTGCAGCTTCCCCTCCTTTTACCAAGAAAAAAAAAGACAAATTCACAATTATCTTTCCAAGGCAAAAAAAACTCCCTGTGTGCTTAAAACTTGCAAACTTCAACATATTCTAGAGAGTGTCTGCGTGCGTCTTCACATGTTGGAGTGTACATACGACAACGCCGCGCTCAGCAATCCAGGGAATGGCTGACATTCTGGTATTTCCGTATGTGGAGTAATTACATTAACAGCTGTTCAAGAATAGCGTAGGCAAGTTAATCTTTTGAAAAGAAAGACAACTATTGAAACCGTCCAAACCTGTAGAGAGAATGGTCTCACAGTCAGGGGTTGAGTCTGACTCTGTAGAAGCGTTGGCACTTCTCACCTCTCGCTGCAGCTGCTTCACAGGCCTTCTCTGTGGCTGTTTTCGCCATCAGGGAGACACATTTCGTATCCCGCGGCACCTCGGAGGAGGAGATATGGGAGAAGAAATATACTTTGCCACCGCTGACTTCAAGTGCACTCACCTCACATCAGAAACAAATCATACAGATTCATTTACATTTCAGACTAACTGTATTTTTCAAGGTTGTCTTGTTCAGGGTATTTTCAGAAAATATGATTTTATTTATCTCCTTTCAAATCTTAAAGTGGTTCAAGTGTTACAGCCAGTATTTTGTTTTTGTAAAAAAGGCCAAATATTAACCTCATTATAAAATATACTATCAGCCTCTTAAGAGACACAGAGATGGGCAACCTGTGTGAAAGACGCCATCGAGACACAGTTTTTAACCATTAAGTTAAATGATCCTGCACAACGTCAAGAAAGAAAGACGATTTAAGTAGTTTTTTTTGTTATATTTGAGTTTTGCCTTGTTTGACTATTAAAGTAAAGGCCTAACACATCATCTGAAGCCAAACAACTTTGAGGTAAACAAATGAATGTGTTAAAACGGTCCCTTTAAGGCGTCTAAGTGGCTTGATGGAAACAAAGAAAGGAAGCCGCGACAATTTAGTTACGCAAGGTTTAAACTTAAAATGACAGCATTATCAAATCATTACTCAACTGTTTTTCGTGCATGCTTCCTGATCCTCACCACATGTTTAGCTTATGAGCCTGACACCAAACCTTGGTGTGTCCAGGTTTGCCATGAGGTCAGGTCAGGGTCTGAGCTCAGCTGGGGGAGATAATGAATAATAACTGGGAGATGAGCAGATGAGTACCTGAATCTCTCCAGGTCCCCTCTGTGAAAGAGGATTGCCTGCAGGAAGGGCTCACATAATCAAGTGAGGGCAATGGAGTCAAGTGACCTGCCTGTATGATAGGGCATGGCCCCAGTGGCCCCTCTAGCCTGTGCTTCAGGGGGAGATAATATGCCGCCTCTGCAGGACCCCAAACTCCCCTGCATGTCCAGATCAAGGTCCTGGACATCACCCCTCAGCTTACCTTAAAGGTGCTCCCTCTGAGGGGTGAGGTAACAAACCGAATATAGGGATATAGACCATCAGTCATGTCAGGATTTAATAATAAAACAATTTTTTTCCCAGGGAGAACAGGCTTTGAAGTACTTTTAGGCAACATTTCCCCTAACAGAGAACGTCAAACTGAAGATCATTTTATTATAACGATCAGACGGAGAGTCAAAACCAGGCGCTGCTTGTAAGGCTTTGCACACATAATCCTGTCTAAAGCTGTGCAATCATTGGGCGCAATCCAAAGTGAGGAAAATTCAAAATATCTGGTGCTATCACGCTGGGTGCTACCCTGCGAATGCCTCGACTTACAAGTGACCTTAAAATAGGCTGGTGTGTGTTTGTGGCGCGGAGACGTGTTCCTGCCTCTCCCATCTGCCGGCTCATGGAAAGGACAGATAGTGCGGGACCTGAGGGCGATGTTAAAGTCTTCCTGCCTCTCCTTTTTGTTTCCACCTTGCTGCTCCGTCTGTAGTATGGCAGGAAGATCAGGACTGCTGTGAGGTGACACAGAGCCGCTACATTTAGTGGTGTGGGCGGTGTCCCTGTTAAACCTCTTAGAGTGTCTCGAAAATACTCGAAACCAAGTGATCCTGTTCATCGCAGCAGCAGAGCCATATCAGTCGAAGAGATGAACTCAGCTTCATCACGTAACATTCATAGTTGTAATAGTGTTATACTAATACAGTGTGGGGGTTATAAGGATGTCAGAGAGGTTAGGGGTCGGCCTCCGGAGCAGAGACGTGTTGCTCGGAGATGCTTTAGCGAGACAGATGCCTGCTGTGCAGAGACCTGTCTCCAGAAACACTGTTTGGCTGCAGTCTCAGCTCACAGCCTGCTGTCAATATAGCAGCCTACATTGTTAGCAACTGCTGTCACCCAATGTGGACTGCATATTCAATCTGATTGCACGTTTCTTTTTCAAAAGCACTGCATGGACTGGAAACAGGATACATCCCTGAGCTGCTCATCAACTATTCAACCCCCAATCCTTAAGATCTGGTGACCAATCGCTGCCTTCTGTTACCTCACCCAATTAAAAACTAAAGGTAATCTTAATTAGTTGGCCTTTGCCATTAGGAGTTGGCTCTTCCTCCTCAATTTATATCTTTATAATCCGCCTAAAGACCCATGTCTTCTCGTTAGTGTCTTAACTCATAGCATGATGTCTTGCATAGCCACAGTATTTTTATTTAATTGTATTAGTTTGTGTTTTATTCTCTTTGTGTGTGCAATTCAGTTTTTTGTTTGTGTTTATATCTCAAAATAAGCAATCTTTCATTAATTGACCTATGTTCTCTGACTTCTGCCTCCTTTTTTAAAATTATTATTGTGTTTTCATTTGATCTCGTTGTAAAATACTTTGTTTATTGTTGTATAATTAAACCAGGTTTAAGTAAAGGGATATGTTGCATTGTATTTGTTGAATTGTAACATTACAGATAAAAGGTGTGGAAAAGGTTAAATGTATGTTGGACACGAGCCCATATGTAGGTGCTGTCTTCCTTGATCTCAGGAAGTTTCTCTTTTGAAGCCAGGAACAGGCTCTGTGACCTTTTTACCTGTGCTGGACTATGGTGATTTGATCTATATGAATGCACCTGCCCATTGCCTGGAAAAGTTAGATGCCGCCTATCACAGTGCCCTGAGATTTGTTACTAACTGTAAAGCACTTACTCATCACTGTACCCTGTATGCCAAGGCAGGTCTGCCATCACTAACTGTACGGAGGCTCAGTCATTGGTACATGTTCATTTACAAAGCCATGTTGGGTAAACTACCTTTTTATATCTGCTCTCTGATCTCTCGACTAATTGAAAGTACATATTGCCTGAGATCTCATGATGTTGTTTTAGTAAATGTGCCAAGTGCTAGGACTGTCTTAGGGAAGAAAGCTTTTAGTTGTGCAGCTCCACTAAATTGGAACAGTCTGCAAACATGTTTAAAACTGAGCACTTTGGTTCCTCTGCATCATTTTAAAACTCAGCTGGCTGACATGCTGTTTGACACTCATGGTACCTGTCTCTGTAAATACAGTTTGTAAACTGTACCCTGTACATTATGTTGTATGTCATCCTTATTGTTGTTCTGTTGTTTTTATGTTACATGTGTAACTAATGTGCTGCAGGTCACCCTTGAAAAAGAGATCTTTTGATCTCAAGGGGCTTCACCTGGTTAAATAAAGGCTACAAACAAACAAGGCTTTTGATACTGTTGACCACCAAGTGCTCCTTACAAAGCTGACGTATTTCAACTTTTCGGCAGATTCAATACAGTGGGTTAAGTCTTACTTATCGAACAGAAAACAGTGTGTTTTGGTCAACGGTGCCAAATCCCCCTACCTTGTCAACCCTGTTGGGGTTCCACGAGGGTCCATTCTTGGACCGTTACTTTTTTCACCGTACATTAATGACTTGCCTAATGTATGTCCTGAGTTGAATGTGCAAATGTATGGCGATGATGCGGTCATCTATTTACACGGGAAAAACACTGAAATGATCTCATCCTGTCTCTCAAATGCTTTGGACAAGGTTCAACACTGGCTGAACAACATTTGCTTACAGTTAAACGTAAAAAAAAGTAAACGACCAGTCAAAATCGAAGGATCCAACGTGTTTTTAAACGGAGCAGAATTAGAACTAGTCCCCCACTTCAAGTATCTTGGAGTCATATTGGACTCGAACTTGACTTTTAAGACAAATATTAAGAAAGAAAGTATCCAATACTATTAAATTCAACTTGCAACATTTTAAACAACTTCGACCCTTCTTAACTGTCAATGCTGCAAAGTCATACCTCCACTGTATGATTCTATCCCACATTGAATACTGTTTGACAAACTGGTCGTTTGCTTGTGCCACAAACCTGAAACCCATAGAACAAGAGAGCTATCAAGGTGTTTGACAGAAAGCCATATTCATACCACCACTGTACCATCCTTGAAACAACACAATTTCTCGAGTTTTGACAATTTTAAGTCTTTTAAAAGTATGTGCTTTATTTATAAATGTTTACATTACATTACATGTCACTTGTTAGACGCTTTTATCCAAAGCGACTTACATACATTCAGTACTGTGGGCAATCCCCACAGGAGCGTGGGGTGAAGTGTATTGCCCAGGGACACAACGACATGCTGACTGTAGTGGGACTCGAACTTGCTATCCCCCTGATTCAAAGGTCAGCGCACTAACTTCAGCACACTTATCCACTGAGCCACAGACTCCCATACATGGACTGCCCCCCCCCCCCCCCCTTAGGGGAATTCATCCACAAAAAAAACACTGGACGCTGCACTAGGTCAGAAACCAGAGGAGACTGAAGTCCACCATAGACGGACCACTTTTGGACAAACGGTTCTTTCCATAAAAGGCAGCTCATTGTGGAATAGCCTCCCAACTAAGACACGGGATTGTCCCACTCAACAGTTTTAAAGGTCAACTCAAAGAAGGGTTGAGAAACACACAGACGTGCAATCACCGCTAAATGCACTTTAACACAGGGGTAACTCATCTTGCTCTTGTATCTTCTCTTGCACTTTATATGTCGTTGCTGCTATATTGTACTGCCATGTGGTAAATACTTGTGTGTGCTGCTCTTGCTCTTTTGCATATCATGTATTTGTTTTTGCTATGTTTGTAAAATGTAATTTTCTTAAATGTTTTATGTGAGCGACTGCGGATGGAAATGAGCTCAAAGCTAAATCTGGCATATTTACGCTTGACACATTTGATCCTTTTAAGTGTTCATTTATGTGCATTGTCCCTGCTAAACAAACGATAAAAAAGTGACTTTCATTACAGATGAATTTTTCCAACAGTCCAAGGTTACGTCATTGATTTCCATATTTTATCTATCTGACATTTCAAAACTGAAAGTTGTGTTACCCTTCACGTATGTCAAGAAAAGCAACAAATGGAAGATAAACAAAAAAATTAAATATAATGTAAAGATGTAGTCGGTTATCCTCTTGCCGAGTGATTGACTGATTGTCTCGGCTCTACTTTGAGTTTTCATTTCAGCAGTAATTACCAATACTTTGAATATGGATGAGTTTAGTTAGAGGGAAACATCGAAAAACTTTTACCTCAAACCTGACAAGCATCTGTTAAAAAAAACGAATAAATAACCTAAAAGCAGCCAAAATTCAAAACGTCAAAGTGTTCCTTTAAGGCAGCCGACTCCTGGCTGAAACTCAGGCCTGCTGTAGCAACCAAATCCTGGCTCTCTTGACTCCACGCAGCTCTGATTAATGGTAGAGGCTGTGGGTGGGTGGTAGACATGGATCTGCCCATTACCACACTGCAACATTGCAAATGGCTTCAATTACTGTGGAGTGTGCTGAGCTGGCAGTAGGGGCTCTAGGAGGCAAGATGAGCAACGTGCAGCATCCAGCAGCTAACCCCACTGTGATCCATTCATTCACACAGCATCATCATCACCGCGGACATCCTCTGTAATTCACTTCAGCACAATAAAAGGTAGAAAAAGACAATAACTGCTCCCTTTTTTGTATTTTTAGCCGATAATTCTGATGCTGTTCTTCTTTTGTTTCTAATCAATCCACAATAGAGGAGACATGTCATGAGAGAGGGGGCTGGATGTGTGAATGTAGGCTGAAACAACACTACATGGCCTCTCCCAAGGCCTCAGTTTCCCTACCAGGGAAAACGCTAACACTGTTTCCCTTGACAAACTGACTCGGCAGCACTTAACAGTAGCAGGACAAACTGAGGGGCTTGCCAAGTGGCTGACAAGTATCACAAGGGCCTGTGTGCCCACGCCTGCCCCCCACCCTGGCACCGGGGCAGCAGCGAGTCAGGGACAGCCTTCCTGAGCCAGAGCGAAGGGGATTCCCTACGATCACGCCCCTGTGTCCGGTGCCAAGAGAGCAGCCCCCCTGTAGCTCCTCTTGTAACGAACCAGCTGTCTCCATCAGTTCACTGACCCACATTCATAACCTTATCACAGGAGGCAACACCAGACTCCCACAACAGCCCTGCTCCACCTCTCATTGTTCACCTCCTTTACAACTTAAGTGATGGGCAGAGATGAAAGCAAAAAACGACGACGAATTTGCGATCAAATTGAGTCAATGACTGCACTACTGGAAGTGGAAACTGATCATTAGGAGTCTCCCACCCACGACTAAATGCTCTCCCTTCGCAAATCACATCAATTAATGTCATGGGCTATGAAAAATGCTCTCTGTGTCATACCACATGGAGGGAGGACAGACGCTAATAAGTGAACATACTTAACGGAGGAGGTGGGGAGACATGGGATTCCCTCCGTTCCTCTTGTCAGTACGGGAATATCGCGCTCATGATCAAGTGAAGGCCATAAATAATACAGCAGGTACATTGGATTCAACCAAACCAATAATAACTGTAAAATGTATTATTTTACCATCTATAAACCCTTACTACATGGAGGTTTTCATTCTTAATATGTCACAAGGAGTCTATTACGCTCTTCACAAGGGCTGTTATCCTCTTCACAATTGACCCATCAATCGAGACATTTGATTATCCAAGAGTGCATTTCTTAATTTCATTTCCCGTTGAATAGAACAACAGTGTGCAGGAGAGAGGAAGTGAAACAGCGGGAGTTAAACTCATGCAGTGAATTAAGGATGGGTGGATCCACTCAGTTCAATCACTTCATAATGTGGGGGCAATGTGTATTGGAGCCGGTAGCTGAAAATGCTCCGGTTTGTTTTGTTCAAAAAATATATTCAAATATTCTAAATAGCTGACTATTATTCATGCCTCAGCTTAACTAGTTCTGACACTGTGTATACCCTGACAATACCTTCCCAAATGTGAGTTCTGATACCCAAAGAAATACTCCGAAATACATCTATTCTTTTTCCAGAGATTTCAACATCAAACAGACATCAGCCTAATATGCCCCGATTGTTTGCTGACATAGCTGTCAAAACTTCAAACGGCGGAGACTGGCAACATCGCTCATTCACGGACGTGGCGCTTGAAGTCTCACACCGCCCTGATCTCCCCTCAAATCACCGGCTGTGACCCGGAGTACAACAGACAGACGGGCACGCCTCCTGTGAGGTAACGTACTGTACATCCAAGAGCGGTCGCCCACGTCCCACCAGGGGAGGAAAAGTCAGAAAAACCCTGAAGTATAAACAAAACAAAAACTCTGCTTTCTGCAAGACAAACAATGCTGTCTTTTGAGAGACAAACTTAGAGAATTATCTGGTGAAAACTATCAACAGTAATGAAAGTTTATTTAGACTGCTTCTGGTTGATAAGGATTTCAGGCGAACTAGACGAAGGTCAGGCAGACTCGTGCAGGTGTGCGTGGGAGCCAGCCAACAACACTCGCCTTGACCCCGCAGGCATTGAAACTGCAGCAGACTTACGCGCTAACCTCATTAACATATCCCTTGTTAAGTTGAAGCACAAATTATCTTTCTAAGGCAACTCTGAATGCTTCGATTAAATGCTCGTAATTGTTTGTGAATTATGCTTAATGACGTGTCCTGAGAAAACACAAGTCCGCAGACCAAAAGCTTAAAGGTGATTAGATGGTGGAGCATCTTGGGACATTATATAATAAATCAAATCACTAATAATAGAAGCTTCCGTCTAGGACACATTTGTTGATGCCTTACATGGAAACATTTCAACCTAAAGGATGGGTTTAGCCCACTCAAACAAATGAGGCAATACCAATTAAATATTGTAAAATGACACAACTTCCTCCTCAGGAAAAAGAATAATCTACTTGCTCGTGATAACAAATATATGTGCAGTAGCCGATATAGGGTCCTGAAACAGAAAACCCAAAACAACAAAAACTTGTAAAGTGGTTAATTAGAGCTTAAATGTTTTGAGTTTGAATGCCTTGGTGTAATCTTTCTATTGCTGATTCAACAACTACAGTAAATGTGGCAGTTGTGTTGATCAGTGTTGGTATATGATAGATGATACTGCAGTGCTGTGAAGATGCTGAGGAGCGGGGTCGTTACCGCGGGACGACTTCTCCCCCTCACTGAGAGACACCGGTGCGTCTGGAAGCTGCTCAAACAACAGGAACTGGTAGCGGTGATAGCCAGATTTCTGAGGCGGGGTCGGAGGATGATAGTCTGCGTGGAAAAATAAAGACTTAAAATCAGGAGAGCTGAGATTAGAAAACAATATGCTGTATGCATGTGATTATCCCAATGATGCAACTCAAATCTATCAGTGGGATAACCAAGTGATGAAATCCCAATTATTTACATTCATTCATCCTCTTAGTGCATTTGGCTTATTTTCTACATACAAATAAAACAATGGTAGCTGTGGTTCTGTCAAACTGTAACCATTAATTCCTCGTGTTCTTCAGTCACTGTGGCTTGTGGGTATTAAGTGGGCTTCAGTTTTTCATTTGGATCAAATAAACACCAACGCTTGAATACAGTAACAACAGCAAACTTCACGTGTTTTAGGGTTCAGGTCTGACTCTCTAATCTACTGTTCTTAATCCCTTTTCACTCACTCGTAAATGTTTGCAGAGTGGTAGAATTATACATTGGGTCATTAAGGGGTGAATAAAGGTAACTTAAACAGGATAACAAATACATGGAATTGAAGTTAAATAGCTGAAAAAGGCAATGAAATGGAAACAAATGACACCAAATTTAAATTGACTTACCAAGCCAAACTAAAAAACAGCTTACACAACATCAATGCGTCACTTCATTCAAATACAATCAATCATGAGATAGTGAAGGGTCGAAATCTAAACGTATACTTACCAGTCAGGGTCGCCCCCTGTGTCTGTCCTTCCCTGAGTGCACTGCCCTGTAAATCAGACAGTTTGTCAGTCAAGGTATTTTTAAGAAATGTATGAAGGATAGGTAATTTCACCAACATTTGAAATACTAATACAGTGGGTCGTTACATTGCTTTCTACAGCACAATAAAATGCCCCTTTTTAGTTTTGTGCTACCACAGACAAATATTGTGCACCCCAACTAGAGAACGTGTAGTTTTGTTAGAGTCTAACCAGCTGAGATTTGGCAAATTAGACATATATTGTGATGAGCGATTTTTTGCAAGCACATATCCAAAAAACAGAGACTTTGGTGATGATTCGAAAAAGACAATCATGTCTCGCTAGTAATCTAAAAATATAAAAAGACAGTTCCCATGCAAATTAAACAACCGAGTGGATTTCCAAGTAGCAATTTCCCATATTATTAATTGTATATTAGCTTCCTGTTGCCTAGAAACAGCCACATGTCACTCGATGTGAAGCGCAGATATTTTCACAAGGATTTTCTTCTGTATATTTGTCAGGTTAAACTCCCTCATCTCCAGAAACAGCACACAGTCAGGCACCTCACGCTGCAAATTGCTCACAGGGATGTTTGTTTAATAGACTGCGAACCGGCTGCATCCTTGAGTAGGAGGAAAGGGACTAAATATGTTGTCTGTGAAACGGCCCAAAACCCACTTGAGGTAAGCGTGGAAGTCCCCATCACAGGCATCAAATAACTGCTCTCAGCACCTATTTCTGTTCTCCTTTCTGCACACACAGGCTCCCCCCACAGGGGGACAGAGGTACTGCGTTGCTAGACAGCATGCAGGGACAAAAGACATGCAGGACAATATTAAGTTGTATTTCTTTTTAGAGATGTAGACCTGAACAACTAAAAACACACAATGGTATTTTGTAGAGTTGAGCTTTTATCACTGGGACCAGCTGAAACATATTTTGCATTAAAAAATGTTTTTTTAAAGGGAATGACATTTTGTATTTGTTAGAGAAAAAATGTGATCTAAATTTCAATAATACTCTGCGTTTAGTTTTATTGACAGTAAGATGTACAGCTTGTTTGCTTCCTAGTAATATGAGGAGCACAAGGAGTCCAGCAAATGCAGTTTGGAGTCGGTACAAAGTGCCAATTAAAATGTTTCAACCCAATTTCCAAAAGTACAGTGTGTCTGTGAATCTGCACCAGAATGAGTGAGATGCACTTTGTAATGCATTATAATTTTAGCATTTATATTTGACTGTTTTATAAAAAAAAGTAGCTGCAGCAAAGCATGTGTCTTCTGTTGTGCATCATCTCATCTGTAATCCTGCTGTTTAGGAGGTGAAGCATCGAGTCTTAGAGAGCAGAGCACCAGCGTTTACACAGACTGGTAACATTCAGAAGATTAGCTTCGACTGTGAGCATCTTCATCCACTGATCAGTGAGAAAAAAAGCTTTATTTAGAAATAGCGAGAGTCCTGCAGCCTGCAGGATCCAAACCCATTGCCATAGCAACAGGTAGTCAACATTTGAGCGTGCAACATTTTCCTACATCTTAACGCTCGGCTCTCGCTCGCTCTGCACGGCACCCTCTGCCCTTTTTATTTCATTATGATACATAGAATAAAAACAACAGAAAATTAATGCAGAATTGAAATTCAGCCAAACAATAAAAGACAAGTCAATCATGTGCAGAGCTCGCGGAGAATCACGTCTTTGAGAAATAATAATCAGTTCGATGGTGATGGGGGTTTTATCTGTGCTCTGTCACAAGAGGTGGGAAGTAGTGGATTACAAATACTTCGTTACAGTACTTAAGTACATTTTTCTGGTATCAGTACTTTACTCCACTACTTATTTTTCTGACAACTTTTTACTTTTACTTCTTACATGTTGAACACAAACACCTGTACTTTCTACTTCTCACATGTTGAACACTAATACCTGTACTTTCTACTTCTTACATGTTGAACACTAATACCTGTACTTTCTACTTCTTACATGTTGAACACAAATACCTGTACTTTCTACTTCTTACATGTTGAACACTAATACCTGTACTTTCTACTTCTTACATGTTGAACTCAAATACCTGTACTTTCTACTTCTTACATGTTGAACACAAATACCTGTACTTTCTACTTCTTACATGTTGAACACAAATACCTGTACTTTCTACTTCTTACATGTTGAACACACATACCTGTACTTTCTACTTCTTACATGTTGAACACTAATACCTGTACTTTCTACTTCTTACATGTTGAACACTAATACCTGTACTTTCTACTTCTTACATGTTGAACACTAATACCTGTACTTTCTACTTCTTACATGTTGAACACAAATACCTGTACTTTCTACTTCTTACATGTTGAACTCAAATACCTGTACTTTCTACTTCTTACATGTTGAACACAAATACCTGTACTTTCTACTTCTTACATGTTGAACACAAATACCTGTACTTTCTACTTCTTACATGTTGAACTCAAATACCTGTACTTTCTACTTCTTACATGTTGAACACTAATACCTGTACTTTCTACTTCTTACATGTTGAACACAAATACCTGTACTTTCTACTTCTTACATGTTGAACACAAATACCTGTACTTTCTACTTCTTACATGTTGAACACAAATACCTGTACTTTCTACTTCTTACATGTTGAACACAAATACCTGTACTTTCTACTTCTTACATGTTGAACACAAATACCTGTACTTTCTACTTCTTACATGTTGAACTCAAATACCTGTACTTTCTACTTCTTACATGTTGAACACTAATACCTGTACTTTCTACTTCTTACATGTTGAACACAAATACCTGTACTTTCTACTTCTTACATGTTGAACTCAAATACCTGTACTTTCTACTTCTTACATGTTGAACACAAATACCTGTACTTTCTACTTCTTACATGTTGAACTCAAATACCTGTACTTTCTACTTCTTACATGTTGAACACTAATACCTGTACTTTCTACTTCTTACATGTTGAACACTAATACCTGTACTTTCTACTTCTTACATGTTGAACACAAATACCTGTACTTTCTACTTCTTACATGTTGAACACTAATACCTGTACTTTCTACTTCTTACATGTTGAACTCAAATACCTGTACTTTCTACTTCTTACATGTTGAACCCAAATACCTGTACTTTCTACTTCTTACATGTTGAACACAAATACCTGTACTTTCTACTTCTTACATGTTGAACACAAATACCTGTACTTTCTACTTCTTACATGTTGAACACACATACCTGTACTTTCTACTTCTTACATGTTGAACACTAATACCTGTACTTTCTACTTCTTACATGTTGAACACTAATACCTGTACTTTCTACTTCTTACATGTTGAACACTAATACCTGTACTTTCTACTTCTTACATGTTGAACACAAATACCTGTACTTTCTACTTCTTACATGTTGAACACAAATACCTGTACTTTCTACTTCTTACATGTTGAACACAAATACCTGTACTTTCTACTTCTTACATGTTGAACACAAATACCTGTACTTTCTACTTCTTACATGTTGAACTCAAATACCTGTACTTTCTACTTCTTACATGTTGAACTAAAATACCTGTACTTTCTACTTCTTACATGTTGAACACAAATACCTGTACTTTCTACTTCTTACATGTTGAACACAAATACCTGTACTTTCTACTTCTTACATGTTGAACACAAATACCTGTACTTTCTACTTCTTACATGTTGAACACAAATACCTGTACTTTCTACTTCTTACATGTTGAACACTAATACCTGTACTTTCTACTTCTCACATGTTGAACACAAATACCTGTACTTTCTACTTCTTACATGTTGAACACAAATACCTGTACTTTCTACTTCTTACATGTTGAACACAAATACCTGTACTTTCTACTTCTTACATGTTGAACACTAATACCTGTACTTTCTACTTCTTACATGTTGAACACAAATACCTGTACTTTCTACTTCTTACATGTTGAACACAAATACCTGTACTTTCTACTTCTTACATGTTGAACACTAATACCTGTACTTTCTACTTCTTACATGTTGAACACTAATACCTGTACTTTCTACTTCTTACATGTTGAACACAAATACCTGTACTTTCTACTTCTTACATGTTGAACACTAATACCTGTACTTTCTACTTCTTACATGTTGAACTCAAATACCTGTACTTTCTACTTCTTACATGTTGAACCCAAATACCTGTACTTTCTACTTCTTACATGTTGAACACAAATACCTGTACTTTCTACTTCTTACATGTTGAACACAAATACCTGTACTTTCTACTTCTTACATGTTGAACACACATACCTGTACTTTCTACTTCTTACATGTTGAACACTAATACCTGTACTTTCTACTTCTTACATGTTGAACACTAATACCTGTACTTTCTACTTCTTACATGTTGAACACTAATACCTGTACTTTCTACTTCTTACATGTTGAACACAAATACCTGTACTTTCTACTTCTTACATGTTGAACACAAATACCTGTACTTTCTACTTCTTACATGTTGAACACAAATACCTGTACTTTCTACTTCTTACATGTTGAACTCAAATACCTGTACTTTCTACTTCTTACATGTTGAACACTAATACCTGTACTTTCTACTTCTTACATGTTGAACACAAATACCTGTACTTTCTACTTCTTACATGTTGAACTCAAATACCTGTACTTTCTACTTCTTACATGTTGAACACAAATACCTGTACTTTCTACTTCTTACATGTTGAACTCAAATACCTGTACTTTCTACTTCTTACATTTCCCAAACAGCTGGTTCCTTTAGTTTGAATGTGTGTTTGGTGGCGTGATCATTATTCTTTAGAGTCATTGCGTGCCTATTGATTTGAACACGATCCGTGTATCCATCATTTCCTGGTCTTCTCTAAAGAAGAGGGACCAATGGAAACGTTGTCATGTTGCCGTTGTTCAGCATGGAAACATTCATTAGCTAACAATGACATTATTGTTCTATTAATATAAAGGGAGG